GTGACAGTTTGGTGCGGATTTTGAAGAGGTGGCATCGTTGGCCCATATTTTTTTTAATGCTGCCAGAAACGCCAAGCCGGAAATGGAAGATATGGACTTGGACGATCTTTGGTTTCAGCAGGATGGTGCGCCATGCCACACACCACGCGTCAATTTCGGTAATCGGCTTATCAACCATTAGAATTTTTGCGGGGTGTCGTTAAGGACCGATGCTGTGCGAACAATCTTTTAACAATTCAGGCCTTTGAGGCTAGCATTCGTGAGATAGATCTTGGAGGTCTTGGAAAACTGTGTTAAACACATGCGCTACTTGTTTTGTACCTGGTTTCGCTCCTCCGAAGCCAGCCGAGGCAGCCATATGAATGAGATCGTGCTCCATAAATAATGGGAATGTCTGCTATTTGGAATAAACGAAAAATATACAATTCATTTTTTTTTTTAATTTTTTAAAAGAAACCAATATATGGCCACCCTTTATATACCTAGTAAAGTAGTAAGATTTGTTGTTGCGCTTCTTAAGGTAAGTGTCAAACACATGCACTTTCCTTGTGTTCTACAATCGACCTTGTGTACCATAACCGACAGCAGTAACATCATCAGGAAGCAGGTGGTTCCTGTGTCTTGACGTACAGCCACATACAAAAGGATGACTATTCAGATACAAAAAAAAAACAACAACAACAATTTCTTATCTGATATACGAATACAGTTCCACTTATGCCATGCAACACCAACTACAACGGCTAAATGAAAATGAAAATCAAATTGAAATCTAATTTTATAGCAACCGGTGTTGTCTGCTACAAGGAGCCGTCGTCCTCTTGCTTGACTGCTTGACACAGCGCGCCATGGCGCTGACTGTTAGTTTGTCAATGTGGCAAAGTACCGAAAAGGTCTGAGGCAGCAGCTGCTTGACTAGATTCGTAGAACGAAAAATAGCAAAAAAAAAACGCTGCAGTCATTTAGGATATGGCAAGTAAATAAAGGATATTACTGTACGTTTTGTGTAGTTTAGTGGTACGAGCAAAGTGAAAATAAAAGCAGTGAATAATAATAATAGATTGGCGCTTACACATATGTTAGTGTTTGGCCGAGCTTCTCCTCCGATTTGTGGCGTGCGCCTTGATGTTGTCACACAAAGCGGAGGGGCCTACAGTTTAACGCCAACGCGATTGTATTTTTTTGAGAAGCTCTTTTTCATGGCAGGAATACACTCGGTGGTTTGCCATTGCCTGCCGAGGGACGACCGCTGTTAAGAAAAAAACCTTTTTTTTGAAATTTTTCGCGATGTTGCTTAGACCAGGGCTTGAACCCAGGCGCTGCGGAGTGGGAGCGCGCACTGCTTACCACTACGCCAGTGAGACCGCGGCTGAGTATACTTGGGATAAATATTTACTCCTCAAAGGCATGGCAAGGTGTTTAATGATTTGTTTATTAGCTTAAGGATTATAGAGAAATCACGTTATGGGCGTTTCAGACATATATATACGGGGCCTACTAGCTCAGTTTCGTAGTTATCAATAGCATAGAGTTTTATGGGCTTGAAATCAAATGGTTGTTGAAAGTTGCGTAGTTTCAGTGAATATTAAGCGAACGGCGATATTAAAGTAGCTAATCGTTGAAGGTATCTAAAATAAACTTCAAATTGGATATTTGTATTTGTAATTTGTAGATTTCCGAACGTTTGCTGAAGAGTTGAGCCCAAATCTCAGTTATCACGATCGATTCATTCATTCATGCCTACAACATGCCCAATGCGTATTGCTATGCGCTTAACTATGTCCGTGTCGAGGATAAGCTCGTACAGTTCCTCATTCCTTTTTCTTCGGAAAGTCCTTTGTGTTTTCCTTGGAGATAGGTACTGTGTTTTGTACACTGCTAGACAAATTTCTTCTGCTTCCGTATAAAAGCTGACAAATGCAGCGCTTCTAGCCCTGGTGTTGAGACTGACCATTTCAATGCCGCCTGCTAAACCTCAGATTGAAGAAGTCGCAAGAAAATGAGTCGCCTTGTCCAAAAACCCCTGGAATTGCGCGAAGAGTTCCTTCCCAATTTGGACGACGTTAAAAAATGTGGTCACCGTCCTCCTACAATACCGTATTAGTTTATTTAGACATTGCGTCGACGAGGCAGCTTCTCTTTGAGCTGTTAAACCCGGCTTTAAAATCGACAATGAGTTGGTGTGTGTCGAAGGTATTTTCCAGGATTTAACGCACTATATAAATATAATAAGTGTAAGACTTAACGGATCTAACCTTGTTGGTTTGAAGTCGTAATATTGCTGCCCTGTGTATTGCTTTGGGTTCATTACACACCCCAGCAAAAAACACGATTACCACAGAAACGAAAGTGGAAACGAGCTAGGCGATGGGAATCGCTTACCGTTTCGCTTCAAGAAGGCCTTATTTTAACATGGGCATGTCATTGGAGGTAAGCCCTTACCCGCAGCATTACCTTCAAACGAAGGGAGAACGCATGCATAAACAGAATCCAGAGAAGCGAACAAAGAATGCCTTACAGAGAAACTAATGTAGAATGCCTAGATAAGTACATACTTATTTATATTAAAGTGAAATCAGAAAATGTCTTAAAAGGTTAAAATAATTAAAATTTTTATAAATCAGCGTACATATGTATGTATTTAGGTATTTAGATTTTTTTTAAAATCGGTATGTACATACATGCATATTTAATTAAGCTTAAAATTGTACTTCCTCAAAGAGTGAGTACGTCACTTCATTGACTGACTTCAACTTCGCTGCAAATTGAACAAAGCAAAACATGATTTTTATGCGAGACAAATTTCCACAGAAAGTAACGGCAGAAAAAGAATTTTTGGATATTCATTCCATTTTTCAGCTGACTACGATGCAGCATTCTACTTTGCATTCCCCGAAATGAAGCAAAGAAGCGAAACAAATAAAATATTGTAGGACATTTTACTTTGCATTTCCCGAAATGAAGCAAAGAAGCGAAACGAATAAAATATTGTAGGACATTCTACTTTGCATTCCCCGAAATGAAGCACAGAAGCGAAACGAATAAAATATTGTAGGACATTCTACTTTGCATTACCTGAAATGACGCAAAGAAGCGAAACAAATAAAATATTGTAGGACATTCTACTTTGCATTCCCGGAAATTAAGCAAAGAAACGAATTAAAAAATAAATATTATAGGACATTCTACTTTGCATTTCCCGAAATGAAACGAAGAAGCGAGATAAATAAAATATTGTAGGACATTCTACTTTGCTTTACTGGCAATGCCTAAAAGAAGCGAAAAAATTCGAAGGCATTATAACGCTATGCCTTCTAGAACACGGTACCACTAAAAGCGATTACCGATTTTTTGCTGGGACGTTACCTATGGCCGCCATTCAAAAGCGTGCATGTCTAAAGTGTTCTCTGGAGGTTTTTTTTACCAGATTTCCACCTTCGACTTTGCATAAAGCAGTTCCGATCTTGAATACATTTGATTGCTGCTTTATTTTCTGATACAATTTTCGCATCGGTAAAGGCCTTTTCGCGCCTTCCCCTCTCCCAGTACCGCTCAAGTGCAGTATGGCTTTATATTTTACGGGTTTCTCACAGAAAAACTTTTTCAACTTGATTACTTAATTACATTCTTATGGAAGAATTTTGTGGAAAAAGCGTGTCCCTCAGAAAAAGTAATAAGGGCCCATGAAGACAAAGTTCGACGGACAGTTTGAATTCTTCTTGGGATTGTTTACACCCTTGAAACCATTACGTGGAATTTGTCATGAACCTCTGATATTTTTCAAACCCACGTTGGCTAGAATCCACAGAAGACTTGATCTAGAAAAACGAAAAAAAACGGGTATTTTTGTCTCTAAATACTTTCTGCAATTTTTCATGGGTGTAAAAGAAAGTTAAATTTTGTCGGACGGTGTAATCGAAGCAAACGACTATAGCAGAAGTAAAGTTGCTTTGTTTATATTCTATTGTTTTTTCTTGGTTTTTTAATGCATTATTTCTGCATCATTTCTTTAAACCGCAAGGAAGTCTGTAAACTAAATAAACACGATAAATTAAAATAATAAAACTTAAGTGGGACCTAAGTTGGCAAAAAGAAAAAAATATAAATATTGTTGCATTGCTGTAAACTGTGACAAAAGGTGAATGGGTACTTCAAAAAATGCAGCACTCAAATGAATATTTTGCATGACGAGTATTTTAATTTTTTTTTGCAGAGCAACGCAAAGAGAAGGAAATACTTGTAATATATTAAACAGGACCACCGCCGACCGGCAAATAGCACTTGAATGCGAAATATGAGGCAAGGTTAAGAGGACGCTGTCTACCCTAGACTGGAATTTGAGAGCATTCAGAAAGTAAGAAATCTGCATATGTACTGTGCACGCACTGGGAGTGAGTGTAGGAGTAATTGTTGTTGACATCTGCCTGCTGCTAAACGAGCGTTCGAGTAGGCACTTGAAGAGCCAAAAGAACTACACACATAGCGGCTGAATGCCAGACGTGCTGCTGATTGACGACGGCAAGGCCGGCTGGCTGGCTGGTGGCACTTCGCAACAATTGCCAAAATGGACTGTAAACAACGCCACAAAAGGCACATACTTACATATGTACATAAGAAGGGCAAAGCGAAGAACGCTCGAGCGGCTCAAGTGCGAGGATTGTGGTATGGGACGGAGGCTGAAGCAGTCTGCATTTGTGTTTATAGTACAAACATCCATATGCGCGCCTAAGTGTTGTTAAGCGCTGGCTAAGCACGTGTACTCTAGGGGCGTGTATTAGTTTTACTTAGTTTACTCAGGACGGACTAACCCCCGAAATCCGCTTAAAACGAGTAGTAAGTAAAATGTATACATATTTGCTTATTTAATGCCTGTTTGTTGTATGGGCATTTTTAAAGAGGTGACAATGGACGACGCGTGCGGGAAGAAAGAACAGCAAAATTATGAGGTATTCAGAAGATGAGCTGAGCAGACGGAAGATGGTTTTGGATTACCCAACGGCATGCAAATGCTATGGACACGCGCTCAAAAGTCACCAGCAGCAGCCAATGTGTTAACGATCAGATTCCCAATTTTTTTTTTTCAGTTTTAATTTTTTCTTGGCATAAAA